CTATTCAATCCCTTGTAATAACCTATAATGGAAAAGAACATGAAAAGGAGTATATTTATGTATAAGTGAATCACTATGCTGTACAGCAGAAATGGACACGACATGGTGGACTGACTCGAATTCCGTAAAAACAAACAAACAAATTCTTTAGGCAGCTGAAGGGGAGGCAAAAGGAAAGTGTCTGGAGTCTTCTGTTTCCTAAAAATACCCCACCTAAAGGAATCATCATGCCACAGAGACATATCTGGGTGGGAATGTTGCTCCCTTGCCTTGTGCAGGCCCAGCCCTGGCTCTGGGCTCCAGACCCGCCGGGACGCTTCCTCCACCCGCTGCAGAACAGCTGGGCCTGGGTGGGTCTGGGAGCCCAGGTCCTCTGGCCCCTGGACCCTGCACTGTCACCCTGGGAGCCGGGGCCAGGTGAGCCCAGCTGCGGGCTCCAAAAGGGCCTTCGCCCGAGGCCTCCTCTCTGCGCCTGCCTCGGGCTTGCTCCGAATCTCTTAAAGACTGGGATGTGAATAATTCTTTTTAATCGTCACTTGAAACAGCAGGACCAAAAACACCCAGAGCTCTGTGAAGCCCTTGGAAGAGAAACCTCAGGGACAAGGAAGGGAAGCTTTAAAAGACAGTTTATTTAGCTGTAAGGGCGCCCACCGCCTTTGCTGCGGACAGTAATTAGGGTGCTGTTGTGAGGAAGTCAGGGTAGGGAGCAGAATTTGCCGCCCTAGCATACGCCCCTTTGGAATACCAGTGACTGTAAGTCGGCTGTTTTCCTAGAAACAGCAGACATGGGGAAAACTCTGAAAACCAAGCAGGAATTACCTGCGATAAGACACAGTTAGGTTTGTAAGGGAGACTTCCATCTGTGAGGGTGTCTCCTCTCTGACCCTGGAGAAAGAAGAAACTCTTGGCAGTGGAGAGAGCAATCTTGAGTCTATACCCCAACCACCCAGGTAACGTCCCCAAACTGACCCTCCGCACCCGCGGTGTCCTCTTTGTCTTTAGCTGAAGGTGGCCTTGAAGGTGAAGATTTTGGCCATGTTGGTGAGTTATTCATTTTTCCTGGGTCTCACCCATGGATACATGTTATTAAATTTTGGTTTGATTTTCTGCTGTTAATCTGTCTCATGTCAGTTTAATTCTTAGACAGCCAATAGAACCTAGAAGAAATTTCTTCCTCCCCAACATTAGCATTTTCCCTGTAAAGCATTTTCTTTTCCCCAAAGCAAGTGTGCGCCTGCAGCCCCCTGCCCTGCCCCGACCCCAGGCGGACTCACCTGGGCTGAGAGCAGCCCGTGCAGGGCTCGGCTGGGTGGCGAGGCTGCCCCCCCGGGAACAGTGTTTCTTCTGCCGATTGTGGGACCTGGTTCTCTGCTTTTGAAATCTCATGTACAGTCAAGCCGGTAGCTTGAAAGAGGAGCGTGGGTGGTGAACTCTGCTACTGATTCTTATCAACCAAAGGTCACTGTTCGGAGCGGAATGTGAGCTGAGGGTCCTGGGGTTACTGGGAAGCAAGTTGTTTTGGGGCTCACGATGACTCTGCTCTGCTGGATTCCTTGGAGAACCCGTGTCACCACGCTGTCCCGTGGTGAACTGCGGATTGCCTGGTGGTGTCCTCTACGTATTTCCCGTAGTCTTATTTTTCCAGCTAATTCAGATTAAAATTCAACTAGCATGTGTTACCAAACCAAGCCTGGGCCCACTCACCCGCGGGCAGCAAAGCCAATCTACTGCCCCGGGCTGTGGTGAAGGCAAGTGCAGTGTTTACTGCCGGCGCCCAGGACGCAGGGACAGCGAGTGCTTAAGAGGCCCGGACTCCCCGATGGGTCTCAGGAGAGCATTGTAAAGGCCAGGCGAGGGAGGGGAGCTGCAGGGCAGCCCACGCACGGTTCTCTGGTTGACGGTGAGGTCGCCGTGGGGGTCACGGGGGTCGCCTCGTGGATCCTGAGGCGCCAGAACGGGCTCGTGGTCCTCAAGCCCTGGTTGACGGCTTGCAGTTGGTGGGGGTGTTAGCAGCTGCAAAACAAGCCGTCAGATCCCGTTATCTAGGTGCTCGAGAGAGGAGCGAAGGCAGGGGATACGGGGGGCGTGTGAGCGGAGAAGCGCAGCCCGGCTCGCCAGCGAGCAAAGCCTCGGCCGCCGCCGGAGGCGAGCCCGGGGCACGCGGGGTGGAGCGCTAGCCCCCCACAGGGCGCTCGGGGTGGGGAGCGCGCGGCACTGGCCCCGACAGCCAGGTGCTCTCTGCAGGGGTGATTTCAGTGAGCCCGTTGCACCTCCCCACACGTAGAAAGGCGCTGGATTCCTCCCCTTGGGATGTCTGGCTCCCTTGAATTAACAGTGACCTTTCGGTGCTCCGACTGCCTGGCTTCGCTGTAAACCTCCCGGCTCCTCGTCTGCCTCTTGGGAGCCGCCCCTCGGCGCCACCTGAGGGGCTGCCCCCGGGCGCCAGCCCGCAGAGGGTCTGCTGAGTAGAAGGGCGCTCTCAGCCTTGAGGCTCTGCTGCTTCTTGCTTTGTCTTCGGTGGACGGGCCTGTCCTTTCTCGCTCCTCAGGGGCAGGGCCCGGCTGCTCTGCTCGCCTGCGTCTCATGGAGCACACGACTGGTGCTGACTGAAGGCTCTGCTCCCCACGTTTTCCGGGGCAGTGCCCCTCCTGAGGCAAAGTGTGCTAGTATTTTCTACAGAAATGTTGTAAGTATTGGGCCCTTCCTTGTGGCTGTGCTCAGAACCGAATCAAGACGGAAGGATGCTTTCTGGCTCCTGGAAGCCCAGCGCCTAAGGCAAGCGTTCACGTGCCACAGGACGTTAGCCGTGAGGCAGAAGTCCGAGCAGCACAGCGCATTTTGTGCCCTGGGTCTATTCTATGTGTGAGAGATTGCCAGGGAAAGGTAAAATCAGGGCCCCCACGTCTTTGTGTCCCTTGTTGCTTGTTTGCAGGAAACAAGGAACGTGTCAGAGAGGAAAGCGTTGTCCCCTCACCCGTCTGCTGGCCGGTCTGAGAATTAAACCGACATGAGGCGAATCAACAGGAGAAAGTCACACAGAAGTTTAATGACGTGGGATACATGGGGGAGACCCAGGAGAGACCAGTGACCCACAACAGGGCCAAAGCCATCACCTTCAGCACCGTCTTTAAAAGACAGAAGAGGTGGGAGGGTAGCTCAGTGGTGGAGCAGGTGCCTAGCGTGCGTGAGGCCCTGGGTCCAGTCCACAGCACCTCCCTTAAAAGTATAAATAAATAAATAAACCTAATTATCCCCCCCCCCCAAAAAAGAGACAAAAGAAGATGTTGAGGGTGGAGAGAGTCCGCTTGGGGAGGTGAACGGAGGCACAGTGAATGAGGCTGATTGCGATATGGGTTTGAGTCACCGCCTTCTCTGCTCATAAGTTTCTAGAGGTTTGGTCCTCCTCCCCTTCCAGGGAGAGAGGGGCCCTTACGGGTGGGCACTTCCCTTACAAATGTAGGTCTTTCTTACTAAAGGGCAGTTCCTACTTGGTTGTCAGAGTTTGCCCCGTGTCTGCTGTTCCTTAGAAAATAACCAGCTTGCAGTAATTAACAGATGAAAGAGGAGTGTTCAGGGCGGCAAATTCTGCTCCCTACACTTGCATCTAGATGTGAAAAATGGATGCATGTTGACAATATTTTTTTGCATGCAGTGGGAGAGAAGCAAGCGTTCATGTATAGATGAAAACTGGTTCAAATGAAGTCAACAAAGCACAAATGCATGTAGAGTAAAGGAATTTTGAGATGAACTGCAAATGAGGACAAAAGCGGATTTCCCGCAGCAGGAGACCAGGTAGGAGTTCCGCATGGACGAGTTACCTGCAGCGCCCAGAGCTGCAGAGTAGCTCAGAGACAGCGCATCCTGGAAGGGTGTGCTCTAGCCTCCCCTTGAAACGCAAATTCCTTTTTCCTAAATAAACAAACATTGTTTTTTAACTAGCTGATACAATTCTCCAGGCAGGGTGTTACCCAACAAAAGTTTGTGTGCGTGACACACAGTCACGTCAGACAAACCGAAACATCGGACTTTGGAGCAGAGAAAGCTCTACCGCGGGGCCGAGCAGGGAGGCCGGGCGGCTCGTGTTCGGAAACCCCAAACCCTCCGATGGTTTCTGGGGGAATCTTGGGGTGGGGGCTGCAGGGGGTGTGACGTTCTTCTGAGTGGCTGGTGGGGAGGTACCAGGGCTGTGCTCCAGGAACCTTGTGCTCAGCGTGAAGTCACCGCCCCCCCCCGCCCCGGGTGGGGCCTCAGTTCCTGCGGAAGGACTCAAAGATGTTGCTACGAGTGTCCCTTGGGGAGGAATCAGGACCCTGTCCCAGGGCTGCACTGTTGTTTCATAATTATCCCTCCCTTGTCTCTGCACCCCCTTCCTTCCCTGATTAGCAACTGTTTGAATCTGCCCTTGGGAGCTCAGGGAAGGTCAAGGAGGCTGAATGAGCCCTATTTCCTACAAACAAGAAATGGGGGACATGGAAAGGGTTTGTCCCAGGAGGGGCCCCGCAGGGTCCTCTGTGTCAGTACTTCCAGTTCACAGTCTCTGCAGAAACTAAGACGCCCCCAGTCCCCCGCCCAGAGGGAGGACGGTGACTGCCTTCTGAGCTGCTCAGGTCAGGTGCGGGGTTGTTAAGGACGCTCCTTCGTGGGGAGCTGGGACTCTGCTTTATGACTGGGCTGTTGTTTAAGCTGTGACCGCTTCTCCTGCGGGACTGCGTCTCCTTTGTTTCTGCGTTTTCTCACTTCCCTGATCAGTAACTGTTGAGCCTGCTCTTTGGCACTCGGGAAAGGCCTAGGAGACGAAAGCCTTTTTCTGCAAAGAGCTGGGTGCACGCCGGGCTTTTGTGCCCAGGAGGGCCCGCGGTGGCTGCTTGGTTTCGCCTTGAAACAGACAAAGTCTGAATTTTCCCTGTTCGTTGACGAATCTAAATTCTAAAGAATGCTACTCATCAAATTATTCTGCTGAAACTTGAGAGAGGGAGGAGAAGTAGCTGCAAAGGAGTCTTGTGGAAGTTGCCCGAGCAAGCAGGAGGGCTGGGACCGGCCCAGGTAGGAGGGCCGGGCTCTGCCAGGCCTGAGGGCAGCCTTTGGCTCTGCCGTGCTGTGAGCCGTGGGTCCGTGAGGGGGACACTGAGGTGTCTGAGGTAGGTTCTCTTGCCGGGGAAGCAGGGACAATGATGCTGTCTGTGCGAGGTGGCAGAGACGTGGACTGAGAAGGCAGAGTGGCTGGTGTCACAGCACTTAACAGTTGAGAGCAACTCTTCTTAGACTCTGAGGTTTGCACGCGGGGTGTAGCCCTGAGTGACGGAGGTGGGGTCCGGATGACACAGCACATCAGGGACTCTGCCTGGGGGACATCAGGGTGAGCTGGGGGGAGCGGGACCTGGGAAGCCGCCCTGGGGGTGGTGCGAGCTGCATGCACTGCCCTTGGGGAACCGCCGGCATCGCGCTCTGCCGGGTGCTTATTCCACCTCCGTCGCCAGTCCCCCAGGTCTAACAGGACCTCCACCGTGCCCGCGAGAAGCAGCGCTGGCGGCTCTCAGCCCTCTCGCAGGCAGATGGGGTCAACATGACCCGTTCCCTCCAGAAAATCCTTGCAGGAGGCACGGAGGCTGGCAGGCCCCTGTGCCCTGCACTGCTGCCCCCTCCCTCCAGTGTCCCAGAGGTGAGGGCTGTGCGTATTCGGGGCTCAGGGAGAGGAGGGAGGGAGGAAGGAGGAGCTGGTCCCTGCTGTCAGGGGCGCCCCGTGCCAGCCCACACCCCTTGCTGGCGGAGGAATGTCCGTGAAGCCGCTCCTGGGGTCAGAGGGCACCATCCCAGCACCGGGGGAAAATGGGGTGAGAGGAGGGCCGTGTCCCAGGTCTCGGGACGTGCCCCACCCAGTGAGGGTCCTTGGCTTTGTGCAGGAAGGAATTCAAGAGCGAACCATCGCAGAGTGAAAGCGAGTTTATTCAGAGGCACACACTCCACAGAGTGTGGGCCGTCTCAGGAGGCGAGGGGCAGCTCTGGAGCGTGGGGCCTTCTAGAAAAGTGAGATCGGCCATGTGGTGTGGGGTGGCTAGTTTGTAGGGGCTGAGTAACCTCATATGCTAACAAGTGGCAGGATTATTTCAACTGTTTGGGGAAAGGGGTGTGGACTCCCGCCCACTTTCTGGCCTTTCGCGGTCGGTCTGGGGCCTGCTGGTGTGTTGCAGTGAGCGTGTGACGAGGCTGGGGGTGCTGGGAGTCGGATCCGCCGCCACCCTGGGCTCTGCAGGCTCTAACCAGTTTATGTCGCGTCCCCAGTGGTGTGTCATTCTTTCGATGGCTGTGCCCTGTCCCCTCCCTCCTGTCTCGCCAGGATGCTGCTCTAGGAAGCAATGGAGACAGAGCAGACGCAGAGTGAGACCCTGCACCCCACCCCTGTCTGAGAGCAGAGCGTCAGCCCCCTGGTGGGGGTGTCCCCGCTTTCTGTACCAGGACGAGAACAACCTCACCACTGGGGCCGGGGCACCGAGAGCGAGTCCACCCAGCAAACTGGCCGGCTGGGCCTCATCGCCCGTCAGCTCCCTGCAGATTCACCTTCCTCCACCCGCCGCCCTGGAAATGCACAGCCCTTTCCTGTGTCCTGTCCCTTCTCTACAGTCCTGCTTTTCTGTTCGAACGCTGAGGAAGATCCCGTCCTAACCCCCTGGAGTTCGCATCACCGAGTTCTCCCGTGCGGCTGCACCGTGCACAGATGGATAAACTTCTGTGAGTTCTCTTCTTGCTAACCCATCCATTGTCATTCTAATTTGCGGGCCCCCGACAGCAAATCTAGGAGGTAGAAGGAAAAAGAGGTTATTGCTCCCCTAGACTCCCCTGAGTTGGGGCAAGTCCCAGGACAAGTCTCTTCTCTGGGATCCACGGTGGTGAGATGTGGACGAGAGGGTGGAGTCCTGCTGGTCCCAGCCCGCTGCACAGGGCGGGGGCTGAGCCACGGCCGGAGGGAGCCCCACATCGGAGGGGCCCTGAGGAACTCCCTTAGGGTGTCCCCGCACGAGCTAGTAAGAAATGCTAAGTGACAACATGCTGGAGGTGAATTTTTAAAAACCCAAGCAAGCCTAGAGGGGAGGGGACAGCTCGGCGGTAGAGCATGTGCTTAGCGAAGGGATGGAGCCCAGGACCTACATTAAATAAATAAGTAAATGAAAGTAAATCAACCTAATTACCCTCCCCCCAAAGAAAAAACAAAAAAGGGAGAAAAAGAAACAAGTGAAAAATCCGAACAAGCCACTGCTATCATTCCATTGCGCCCAGTGCTCGCTGTCCTGCTAAAGCCAGCTCTTTTCAGAGCACAGCACCTGAAAAGGGACGCAGAGGGGCCGCAAAGCTGCGAGCACGTCTCGGGAGCAGCTGCTAGCGAACGGGGCAAGTTCTTCAGGGAAAAGCTTTTCTCTTCCCCGCAGCTGGCCCTGTCCTCAAGGGCTTCTGGTCTCCGCATGCCGAGCTGGTCCCTGCTGCTTCCCGAATCCTGGAGAATGCAGCTCAGACCCGGGTTCAAGGAAGGACTCGTTGCCTGGGCTCAGGAGGAGGCCTGCTCTGAGTGCAGCAGAAACAAGGGCAGGGCTGCACCCCGAGGGCTGCCGGTGCTGGGGGGTGTGATCGAGGGGAAACCAGCCGGTCAGGCGAGTTTGTCCGCCCAGGTGAGATGCCGGCCCAGGCCTGCTGGCTCTGAGAACCCGACCACATCTATGCAGACGCATCGCAAGTCACCTGTGCAGCTGGTGAGGCCCGGCCCCAGCGCTGCACCTGCCGCTGGAGGCCCCTCAGGGCGTCACCCCAAATATGCCGCCCTGGCACAGGCAGGGTTCTGAGCTGAAAGCACTGAGGAAAAGTAAATCCAAAAAGCCCTCTGCCCTCCCCCTGCAGGAAGGGCCAGAGAATTCTTAACCGTGAGGCCACTCTGGACGGTTCTCAGCCCAGAGATGGCACCAGAGGAACCTCCTGAAACAGCCCTCACCTCCGGCAGCTCCCCCATTAACTTGCCTTCCCGCTTTCACTGCCCCTGGGAACGCGACGTCCCTTCCGCTGTCCTGCCCCCTCCACACGGTGCCGTCCTCTCCTAGGACGCGACAAAGCTGCGGGGCTCCTACCCCTCCGAGCGCCGCGGCCCTGGGGATCCGTGTGGATGTGCCGCGCACGCCTCAGTGGCTTCTGCTTGTCCCCCATTAGCCTGCCTCAGGCCAGTCTCATCTGCAGGCCCAGCGGTGACCGCAAGGTGGGTAAAGCCTGAGATGCCCGGGAGGCGGCGGCCAGTGGCCACCAGGTGTCAGGAAAGTCCCCGTCTGGGGGGCTCGTTCTTGGAACCTGTATCCTCGGGGCAGCCCTGAGACTCACCCGGAAAATGGAGGGATGTGAAGAGGCCAAACTTCACTAGACAGACAGACAGACAGCAGGTCCCAGCGTCAGTGAAGCCGCCAGCCGCCTCTGCAGGGACGAGCCCTCCCTGGGCCAGCAGCTGTCCCGGGTGGGCGAGGAGGCAGCAGGATGCCAGGCTGACCCGGCCGCACAGGGGGTCCCAGGGACACCTCGCAGGTTTTCACAGGATGACCTGTTAGTGCAAGTGTCCCCGAGGGCAACTTCCCTGACCCCCGAACAAGTCAGGCCGTGCCGTCGGAAGGAGACCCTGGCTACGCGTCCTGGGTTCCCCTGGGGGCTGGAGAACCAGGGCCTGGCCTATCCTTGACCACATCCTGGGTCTGGGCGCCGTGTGTGAGAGGTCCCCTCTCTCCCTCTGAGAGGTGCTTTCCCGAGAGCTAAAGGAGGGACCCCGACCAGGTGGCTTTGTGAGAGCAGTTTTCACTGACAGCACGAGCCGCAGAGGAGCGTGGTCCATGGACGGAAGGGTGACGCCGCATCATGGCTTCCCGGGGCGGCGAGGCCGTCTGTGTGGCGGCTTTGTGGTCCTGTCTGAGGGCAGGGGAGGAAGCTCCAGGCTGGGGAGGGCCCGAAGCAGGGACTCAGGCCTCCTCTAGGGGAGGTGGATCAGCTGAGAGCATCGTGTGCGGGGAAATGTCAGCCGTTGCCCAAGGCGATCTCACAGCAGGTGACAGGAACCAGCTGTTCCCACCCAGACCTGCAGTGACTGGTGACCCAAAGGAAGGGCCCGTGCGGGTCGGGGAACGTGGGCAGCGAAGGAAATCACTGCACCTGCCGCCTAGTGTCCCTGTGTCCCCACACACACCTGGACCCACCATCACCACGCACGTGTGGACCTGCTGTCACCACACATCACACGCGTGCGTGCGCACACACACACGCACACACCCGATCGTGGGCCAGCCGCTCACCACTCTTTACATAAGTAAGCGAAAGAGGCAATGTTGACAGAGAGGAGAGTTGCTTTTAATCAGAATGCCGGCAGTCTGGGGAGACGGTGGACTTGGTGTCCCCAGGAGACCCTCTCTGCAGGTTCTGCTCAGCCGTGGAGGCTTTTAAAGAGAAAACAGGGAAGTCATTTCTGTTGACCATCAGGAGAAGGGGTCGGAGGCGCCACCACCGCCGGCCGCACGTGGCGTGTCTGTGTCTTGCGAATTTTCCTCAGATGCTGTCTTGTTCACACAGTGCTCATGAGGTGCCTGAGGGGGGAGCGGGGAAGACACCGGTCATCTGGGGGTTACGTGTTCCCCATTTCTACTCCTTTGGTCTAGGAGAGCACCCACAGGTTAGGCAAGGCGTTGTGTCATCAGAGGAAAGGCTTGGGGTGCCTGGTTTAAGGTTGGTGACAAGACGTAGGGGCCTCCTTCCTGCCCAAAGCTGCTCACCCTGCGGGCCTGCACACACACGCATACGTGCACGCACACACACATGCACACACACACACTGCACACACACACGCACACACTCAGTTTCTCCCGGTAAACTGTTCAGCCGTTCTTAGCTTCATCTCTCTGAGGGGAACCCCAAACCCATAACCCCTGTCCCTTCCTTTGCCAAACGCCGGTCCTGCCTTCCCTCCGCCCTCAGCTGGGTGTCCCCCTTGGAAACCTCCCGCATCTCCTGTTTCTGAGCAGCAGCTCCCCAGTCTTCCAGCCTGTAGCCTGCAGGCTCTTGTCCCTTTCTCGGGGAGACTGCAGGGTCGCTGAGGCCTCCAGGCGTGGCTTCAGCTGCTCGTCGGTTGGGACAGAGCCTGCCTGTCACTCTGTCGTGGGGACGTCGGGCAGACAGCCCTCCCCCACGGTGGGGCTCACAGCCTGGTCTGCATCAGAATCACCTGGAGGCCTGGTTGAACCTTGACCGCTGGGCTCCACCCGGAGCTGCGATCCGGCAGCTGCCGTCTGAGGGACCCCGGGGTCGCGGCACAGCTGGTCCTAGGAAAGAACTTGGGGAAACACTGCCTCCCCACTCTGGCCACGCACGCTTTGGCCCAGCGGGCGGCCCGCACCCGGACACCTGCAGTACGCTGAGAACCTTCCTAGCACCACCGAAACGAGGCCACCGCCCCCGGTGCCCTCAGACAACGGGCACTCCCAGACTCCCAGATCCGAGGCTGGAGTTGGCAAAGGCATCGGCGGCCCCGCGAAGGCTCTGGAGGGCAGCCTGCTCCCTCAGAGTCCGGACGAGTCGGGGTTTACACGTGCATACACATCTTCTTGGCAGGGGAGTGACCTGTGACACGGGCTCGTTTTAGCGCACGTGTTGGTGTGCGTGCTGCTCCCAGCTCTCCGGGCTCACTGGGGAGAGAGGAGACGCCCCAGGGAAAGGGAGCTGTGGGCGTCTGTCCCCGCCTCCCTCCCCGCCATCGGTTTCAGCATAAACACAGGGAAGCGATGAGAGCGCCAGCCTGTGGGGGGGCCCCTGGGCGGTGGTGTTTCTTAGGACACCTTGCAACCCAGCAGGACCCTGCAGGCCCGCCCGGGTACAGGCCCCTCCGTGCCCCTGCCACTTGCTGGGCCTCCCCTGAGCTCCAAAGAGCGGCTGCACACAGTTCATGACTGGAGCAGTGGAATTGGCAGGAAGTCAGCCAAGCAGGAAAACTAATCACAGCCTAATCGACAATAGAGCCACAGGCCTCCTGGTCCCCCTGAGGGGTGCACGTGACAATCCAGCTCAAGTCTTTAACTCTCTCTGCAGAAGCTAAGACCCTGCCTCCCAGGTGGGGGCCCGCGGCTGCGTCCGACCGCGAGCAGGAGGCTCCGGACTAGCTGGAACCCAAAGGCTGGTGATCAAGGTTCCCAAAACATCCCCGTTACCTCACCACCAGCCAATCAGAAGACAGTCCACGAGCTGATCACGTACCCGGCAACCCTCACCCATAACGTTGTCTTTAAAACCCCTCCCTGGAAGCCATCGGGCAGTTTGGGTCTTTGGGGCACGAGCTGCCCCTTCTCCTTGCTTGGCGCCTGCAGGAAACACTGTACTTTCCTTCACCACCACCCAGGGTCAGTAGATTGGCTTTGCTGTGTGGCGGGGAAGGGACCCGAGTTCGATGCGGTAACCATGTGGCCGCTGTGCCGCGCAAGCGCTCGTTCTGGAGGAAAGCGTGGGCTCTCAGGCCGTCAGTGCTCCATGTACCGGGTTGTGGATGGAACACGGTATCGTGAACTTTGCTCAGCGTCATGGCTGCTCGGCGTGAACAGGGCGACGAAGACCACAGCATGTCTGTGGGCTCCGTGTCCTTGCAGACAGAACACAGGCCGAGACAAGATGATTGAGAATTTCCAGGGGCAACAGTGGAGCCCTGAGCGCAGTGCAGTCCTTCGAGTGCGGCCAGGCGAGGGCGACCAGGCGAGTGCGGCCAGGTTGGCTGGGAAGCCGCCCACCTCCTCCAGCCCAGCAGGTGCCAGCTGGCCATCTCTCGTCTCCCCTTCCTCTCCCACCACGTCTCCGTCTGGTCACTGAGGAACTGGGCATCTTTGTTGGGTCTTCACAACCTCACCCAGAGCCCCGTAACCCCCGTCCTCCCCTCCCCTTGGCAACAACTTCCCCACCGTCCCCTTGCTGCTGAGTTCATTGCCCTCTGGTTTTTTAAGCTTACTAACTCTCCGTTTCTTAATGCTCTTTCAGACATTTGAGGGGTTCAGAACACCCACCCCAAACACACCGCTCTGGCAAGTGACTGTCCTGCACAGGAAGCAGGTAGGCTCCCTGACTGCTCTGTTTCCAAAGCAGGTCCTGAGGTTCCCCTGGAAGGTGCCCTCCAAGCTGCCTCCCCTGCCCCGGGGGAAAGCATTCTTACCCCCAGGGCCGGGGAGTTGACCCCGAGATGGACCTGGACAGTCAGACCTGCTAGGACAGCCCCGTCCTCCCTTCCACAGTCTCTCTGGGAGCCCCTGGCCGCCCATCTGCCTCAGCCTCGTCACAGCCCCACGATGGCTCTTGCTTTGTGTAAAAAAAGGCACACGCACTTTGGGGCCTGATGGCTTCTTCAGGGGTTCATTTTTCTTCTGAAGATTCCTGTGGACACGTAAAAATTCTAAGTAAGTGTTTGCTGTCCTCCTGTTGAGCTGTGTGTGTCAGCTTAATTCTGCGTCTGGCTGCAGGACTAGGAGGGCGGGGGGAGTCTTTGTCCTCCCTTCAGTCGCCGGCCGGGACCCCTTTGGCTGGTGGCTCCGATCCCGGAGCCGGGCTCTCCCCGTGCAAGGAGTACACTACATCCGCAGCCAGGAAGGGACCCCCGTTGTCCACAGGGAGGGATGGGGGCATCACGCCAAGACAAATGAGCCGGACACAGAACAGCGCCGTGTGGCCTCACCTACCTGGGCATCAAAAATGGTCCCACTCAGAGCCAGAGCAGCGGGGTGGTTGCAGGGGCCGGGGCGGAGACGGGGAGAGAGATGTCTGTGCAACACGCTTCCAGTTAAAAGGTAAGTAGGTCCTGGGGTCCCAGGCCCCATGACGCGTGGTGGCTGTGGTTAATACCGCCGTTTTGTATCCTTGAACTTTTCTCAGAGAGGAGATTTAAATGTTCTGATCAAGAGAAAGAACAAGGTAACTGTGTGAGGCGGCGAGCGTGTTAATTAGCTCGACGTGGTGAACGTTGCAGAAGCGTTCCCGTGCAAGACACCACGTCGCTCCTCACGTACAGTTTCCACTTGTCAGTTACGCCTCAGTGAAGCCGGGCAAGATAAATACATTTTTTACTTTATTAAAAAATTAATTGAGTTTATTTTGTGCCACCCCCCACCCAGGGCTGGGGCTTTGGGACATGCTGGTGTCTGGCCCCAGAAACAGGCTATGTGGCTGACTCAGGACCGGGGCTCCAGCCGGCCCTGGCAGGGCCCCCGCTTCCTTCCCGGACCCCAGGCTCAGTGCGTCTCTGCCTGGATGTGCACTGGCAGACCTATAATTACGAGCTATTAGAGAGTGATTTCAGTCTGGTTCCGACCGGGAGCGACTTAATCATCCTGATAATTACGGGACCAGAGCCCTCCTGCGCTTAGGTGGCGGTTTGATGGGCAGACCCATTTGTGCAGCGTCCTGACTTTGTTCCACTTACTGCACCAAAGGGAAGTGGGGGCTGCGACTCAGAGGAGCTGCCACCACAGGGACAGGGCGCAGGCGGCGCCGAGACACAGCGCTTCCCTCCCGGGACGCCGTGGGCAGCTGAGGACACTGTCTCACCCAGACACACAGAGGGACGGAGAAGGCGCAGAGGGAGGCAGAGCAATGAGAGACGGTTTTAAAGGGGAAAGCAAGTACTCACCAAGCACCTGCCAAGGAGCACCCGGGACTTCATGTCCTGTGATCTTGGCCTGGATACAGCCAGGCACGCGTGGTGCTGTGCAGACGAGAAACCCAGGCTTGGGGAGTTATAGGCCTGTTTCTCAGGGCAGTATGGCTGTCCCGACACACAACCCCCTAGTTCTGTGCCTGAATGTAAGAAAGTTAATTTTTGCTTAGGAAACATTCAAGGCCATGTTCCTGGTGGGTAAGTGACTGTCTCCAAGGTCACGTAGGGGTCCCTCGGTGTCCCCATGCTTCCAACCCGCAGGCCATGAAGTCCTCCCCATTCAGCTGGATAATGAGGAGGGAGAGGGGGCCCTCCTTCAGTCAGAAGCTTCCAGAGCCAGCTGGCAAGGGCACACAGGGATCATCCGCCCACTCCCCACCAGCCAGAATCAGTCACACGGCCACGTCCGCCGGGTCGGGAGGCTGGAAAAGTCACGGGCTCCGTCAGGCTGGCCGGGCCACATGCCAGCCGCAGTCAGCCGGAGTCCAAGCTGTGCTCTCTTGGGCTTCAGCTGTCCAGATCCCAGGGGCCGCCCCTACGGAGATGGGGAAATGCGAGACAGAAAAAGAAGATGCCCGGGGAAGGGGCATCAGCAGAAACGGCCGTGGCTTCTCTCCTTAACTCTCAGTTCGGGACCAGGAGCCTCTACAGACGAAAGTGTCGCCCGTTTCCTGGCTCCAGGCGGCCAGCAGAGGGAACCTGACTTCCCTGTCTAACCTGTCCCAGCCCTGCCCGCAGGACAGACAGCTGACCTCACACTACTCAGGCGATTCGGTGAAGTGTAACCCAAAACCACAGGGCAGGACAGGTGGTGGGAGTAAATTAAAGGGTAGTTTTAGGCAGAGGTGGAGCTCAGAGGTGGAGGGCGTGCTCAGCATGCACGAGGTTCTGGACTCAATCCCCAGTCCTTCCATTAAAAGAAAAAAAGAGTCCAGGTCACTCAGGGAAATAAATTGCATTAATGATGAGGGGGAGACAGTTTTACTAACTTAGCAGAAAAACCTGATGTAGAAAAGAATATAAAGTTACTTACTTAAAGCGAGCAGTGAATAATGCCAACACATCTCCAAAGCGGCTTTCAAAAATAAAACACCGCGGTATCCAGAACGCCTTCCTCCGGTTCTAGAATCCCCGGATGTGGCCAGGTTTCCTGTCAGACCACAAGCACGATGGTTCAGAAGCCTTCAGCTCTCCCAGAGGACCTAAACGTCCGTCGACAGAGGACTGCGTAAAGAAGCTGTGGTACATTTACACAGTGGAGCTCTACTCAGCCATAAAAAGAATAAAATAAGGCCATTTGCAGCAACATGCATGGGCAAGGAGATCATCATTCTAAGTGAAGAAAGCCAGACAGAGAAAGAAAAATGCCACATGATATCGCTTATCTGTGGAATCTTAAAAAAAGAAAGAAAGAAAAGAAGACATTAACGAACTCATCTACAAATCAGGGACAGACTGACAGACATAATACACTAACTTATGGTTACCGGGGGGAAAGGGGTGGGAAGGGACAAGCTGGGAGTTTGATATTTGCAAATATTAGCTATTGTAGGTACAACAGATAAAAACAAGTTTCTTCTGTACAGCACAGGGAAGTATATTCAACATCTTGCAGTTACCTATAATGAAAAATAATACAAAAATGAATATATGTGTGTGTATGTATGACTGAAACATGGCGCTGTGCACCAGGAATTGACACATTACAAGCTGACTATACTTCATTAAAAAATAAATATAATTAAAATATATATAAAAAATTAGAATTAAAAAAAAAACGCAGAAAAGAACAGAGAAGAGTGAAAACAAGCGCTTGACCGATGAAAGCACGGCACGCCTTGGCCCCGCGCTCCTGTCCCGCTGATCCGGGGAAAACGGTGTTGGCTGGGGCCCCAGGGACCGTCTTTGCTTCCGGATTCCGTGCGCGGGGGCAGGAGGAGACCCCCCCCTTGCTGGGCCCCCGGGAAGCCGTGGAGAAGCGGGGGCAGGAGCATCTCCGAGATCCACCGGGTCAGACTTGGGCGTACACACGAGGCTCTTCACACGTCAGCGCTGGGAAGTAAGTGGAAGTCCGTGCCGGCCCGGCCCCGCGCCGCCCCCTGAGTCTGCTCCCTCAGCTGTGTGGCCCAGGGAAGAGCGACCCTGGAGGCAGGGCTCCCACTGCCGTCCAGGGGCAGCCGGCAAGCCTCTGGCCTGAGGCTGGGGACACAGAGTCCTCTCCGCCTGCCAAGGGCCTGCGCCTGGGGCGATTCCCTCAGGGCCTGGAAATCACTGCTTTAATCCCGTGCTTGGCTCAAAAATAATCATTATTTCAGACTTAATAAGCCTGGATTCAGCTTGTTAGCACGGCATTTTTGCTGTGAAAGGTGCCAGCTGTGAGCTACGACTCGAGGGGCGCCGGGGAACCCCCACTTATCCTCAAAATTTCTCTGTCATGTTTCTGAGATCCGCCCCTAGAAACAGAGTCTTTTAAGGCCTTCAGGCATTTCAGTCTTTAGGAGACCTTGATGAAAATGCCCACGGCCCTGGGAACAGTAACAGCACAAACACAGCTTCAAGTCTATCTGGCCTCGCACCCCCCCCCCCGCTGCAACAAATATTTTGTGATGCTCCTCTGTGATCTTCAAACGGAATTCGCAGACAATACAACCTCTTTAAAAAGCAGTAAAATGCCCTCATTTTTATATGAAGGAGAAGAAAAAGGAAAGTAATTGTGACGGTGAATTTAAGTCACCTTGACTGGCTGCGGGGCGCCCAGATTGGACGCGACTCTGGTTGTGTGTGTGTGTGTGTGTGTGTGTGTGACCAGCGTTCGAATCGGTGGACTCCAGGAAGCAGATGGCCCAGCCCGGTGGGGGTGGGCATCGGCCAGTCTGCCCGGGGCCCCAAGAGGGCCAAAGCTGCACGGAGGAGAATCCTTCTGTTTTTCCTGCCTCACGAACACTCTGGGTCGCCTTCTCCTGCACTTGGCAGGGATTCACCCATCGGCTCCGTGGTTCTCAGGCTTTCAGACCCAGACCGAGTCGCACTAGCTCCCTGGGCGTGGCCTGCAGGCGGCACACGGTGGGGCTCCTCAGCCTCGGTAACCATGTGAAATAGCTCCGTTCAGATGCACATAAACAAACAAATAAATACGTGTACCCTGTTGGTTCTGTTTCCCTGCAGAACCCTGCCTGATCCAGTCATTTAATAAAATAGTGCGTGTTTTTGTTAGAGCAGGCAGACACGTAGCTAGACGTGGGCAGGGAAAGGGAACGCGCGCCAGGTGGCAGGAAACCACCTGTACTGTGAGCAGCGGGGGTCCTCGGGCAGACAGAGAAAAGCAGGGACCTCGGGACTGCGGAGAGGTCGCGCATTCTGGGCTGGCAAGTGGTCTGAAGGCCGACAAAGGAAGGCGGAAGAGGCAGCGATCGCCAGTGTCCGAATGTAGCCTTTTGCTCATTCTGCCCTCATTTCAGTAAAACTAGCCTTGCGGATTAGACTCCTCATCATGCACCGAGGCTGCGGCTCTTCTGATCCAGACTAAATAAGAACACAATCCCTCCTGCCCTCGGGAAGGCAGAGCTGGGGTGGGGATCAGGGAACATGACCCCAGACCCTCCCTTCCCAGTGAATGTTCCGCCCATTCATTTCTACACCCTTTGTAACCAACTTGCCAAATTTAGTGCAGCTGCTCACCTGAGTCTGCCCGCTCTCCCCTTGAGAGCAGACTATCTCCACATTAATAAATCCTCACTTTACTTCCTTGACCTCTGCATCTGGTCTCTGAACTCTTTCTGTGATGAGACAAGAAAGTACTCGCCGGCAATGTTTTGATATGTGAATGCTTGGGTGCAGTAGAAGATTGGATGGCACAGTTGGATGCTGGCTGACCACCGGAGACACAGCAAAGATGCAGACTGACACCGAGATACCTACGGTGGGTTGATTAACGCAAGGCATTGAAAACTCCAATCAAAGCCCAGTGCAATCTACCTTCAAGGCAGGTGGTCGTGTATTCCAGGTAAGTCAACACCTGGCGGCTGTGCGTGAAGCCAGTGCAGCCTTCGTCTGTGCTCACGTGGTGAGAGGTAGGTTTCCACCTGCAGGAGTGGTCCCTTCGTTTCAGGGTGTTCAGCATCCTGCTCCCAGCCCTGGAGGACCAGTTGTCACTGTGATAACGGAGATAATGTGATAACATGTTGAAAATGTCCCCTAGGGGGCGATGTCACATCGGTTGAGAAGCTTTATGATGCACACCATATGGTGCACTGATGGTCCCCAAGAGACAAGGATGAAGAGGGAGACGAGGTCACTAGTGGGAGGCTGAGAGGGGAGCCTGTGCTGCAGAGGAAGGTGGGCGGATGTCTCAGGGGATGGAGGGTCAGGGGTCCCATGCATCCTGCTGTGGAAATCATGCCCTATTTAAGCCCTTAAACATTAA